TGCAGGTCTACACAGAATCCAAACGATAAACTTTATTTTTAATGAAGTTCCAGGCCACGTCAGTAAGAACTCGGTCCTTTGTACATTTAATTTTATCGCGGATTAGTTTACAATCAAGGCACAATTCTGTGCAGGATTTTCAGAAAGATTGAAACTAAAAGACGAAGCTATGTGACTATATTGGATCTGATGTCTCACCACATTGTGAGGAACTGTTTTTGGTCACTATTGCTTGTATTTATGCGTCCATCTGTGAGGGATGTAAGCTGTCAAACATACACAACTGTTAACCAATCATAGCAGTGGGCGTTTACTTCTAAGTCTACAATCTGCCACGCCTATTCAAACAGAGCGTTCTGATGAGGAGGGTTAAAACAGGACAGAAAATAGCTTGTTTTTGATGTAAAAATCTTGATATCATTATAAGTGGACCTCACAAACTAAAAAACAAAGGCAGTTTATGACCCCTTTAAAAAGGTTCCTTCTACATGCTTCTTGGAATGCAGAAGTAATTAAAAACTCTAATATGTGTGTTAACTAATAGACGCTACTCAGAAAATACAAATTGTTCAAAATTAAAACTGGATATGAAATATCATGCATAATGTGGTTGGATTGCACCAAATTTCCAGCTTGTTTAAAACTAATCAGCGAGTTGTAGACGTGTAGATGGACACCTGATCCTATTAGCCTCTCTTCGGACTATCACTATCCTTATCTATAAAATGGCTGAGGCCAAAAATAGGAAGAAAAATTAATAATCAGGTTGATTTGCTCTTTTATAAATATAGAAGCCCTCTGGGCACGACTTATTAAAGTTTTAAAAGAGAATTAACTCCTGCAGCAGGTGATGCTGAACTTTTAATTGCTCATCAAAGAATTAATAGTGGGCAAGCGTAGGGTTTGTGAAATTAATAAACATAATATTAATAATCGAAAACTGAGTTACTGAAATAACTTCATTATGTTACAGCACATAAAAACACTGGAGTGAATATTAACATGTGGATCTAGTTTGCATGCTAGCAGACATCAAGCAATTATGGACTTTAAAGGAACAGTTCATGCTGAGGATGTGCTCACCATCAGGCCGTCCAAGATGTAGATGAGTTTGTTTCTTCGTCAGATTTGGAGAAATGTAGCATTGCATCAGTGTCTCTGCAATGGATGCTCTGCAGTGAATGGGTGCCGTCAGAATGGGAGTCCAAACAGCTGATAAAAACATCACAATAATCCACAGCACTCCAGTCCATCAGTTACCATCTGGAGAAGACAAAAGCTGTGTGTTTGAAAGAAACAAATTCAAGACATTTCTAAGTTAAATACAAGTCCGTAATTAATAGTAATAGTAGTTCTGAATCAGGAGAAACATCTGCACAGATTAAGCACCAGCTTTTGTCTTCTCCAGATGTTAACTGATGGACTGGAGTGGTGTGGATTATTGTGATGTTTTTATCAGCTGTTTGGACTCTCATTCTGACGGCACCCATTCACTGCAGAGCATCCATTGCTGAGCAAGTGATGTATTACTGTAATGGGCTGTGATTTGGTCTTTGTCCATGTATTTATTTCAGCGTTTTGTTTGAAGCACTGGAGTGCAGTGAGTTATGTCTATTCATGAGCCGTGATCACTGTACCATTTGGTGAATTCGTTTTTCATGGCTCTATTGTGGGACCATTGATGTTTCTAAATGGTGTGTTAAACCGACACCAGACTGTGGTTGGCAGATTTACATGTCGGTCAGGTGTCTCTTCCTCTCTGAATGGGCAGTTCTTTGCTAATAGTCCGCGGGAGACTCTCTTACCAGTGACGTTAATGCTAGTGCTGCAGGCCGTACGCGGTCACTTCGTGAAAACGGCAGGAAATGTAATTGTATGTAATGTAAACAATTATAGATCAGAGTCGATGTTCTGCCCACACAAACACAAAACTATTACTGTCACATCACCCTACAGCACAAGAGCCTGTGTGTGTGTATGTGTGTGTGTGTGTTATTTTCTGGGTAGTGGGCCTTTCCCATAATTCCTCCTGAGTCTCCTGTGTTGGCTTATTGCTTTGTTTTCCTCCCTCTTGCTGGTTTCTGTGTTTATTAGCACATTAGCTCCTTGGAGGCTCAGAGTATCACAGACTCACAGAAGCAGCCAGATAATTTCAGCCCTTTATTTGTGTTTGGAGAGCTGACAGCAGCTGATCATCCGGTCTGTTTACTCGGGTCATGCACATTTCTGCTCTTATTCTGATCCGTTCGTCAGTGCATACTATTGCAAGTAAAGAGTTTGTCTAGTATTGCTGAATGATTTGAACAAACAATTAATGTGATTCCTGTGAAATGCATCACTGTGTATTGAAAATGAATGGGTATATTGAATATGTATGCACTTTGGAGCATGCTGTGCAGTTTATTTTCAGCTTTTTGCAGTTGAATACTCATTTAAAGCCATATTGTGTTTTTGATTTTATTGATTAATTGAGCAGCAGACGTTCTTCAGAAAATTAGGCAGTATTTGCTTATTTAATTGCTTGCTTGCTTGCTTTCATCTTTTTAATAATTGCACTAAAGCTGTGTAAAGCAACCTGTTTCTGTGTTTATAGATGAGCAGGTGTTGGAATGAAAATAGTTTGGTTAGTGGTGCTTCTTGGTGTCTTGTGTGTGGGTGTATATATATATATATATATAATTACTAAAAATGTAGTTAAACGTTTAAAATGAAAACAGAAAATATTGAATACTCATTTAAAGCCATATTGTGTTTTTGATTTTATTGATTAATTGAGCAGCAGACGTTCTTCAGAAAATTAGAATGTATTTGCTTATTTAATTGCTTGCTTGCTTTCATCTTTTTAATAATTGCACTAAAGCTGTGTAAAGCAACCTGTTTCTGTGTTTATAGATGAGCAGGTGTTGGAATGAAAATAGTTTGGTTAGTGGTGCTTCTTGGTGTCTTGTGTGTGGGTGTATATATATATATATAATTACTAAAAATGTAGTTAAACGTTTAAAATGAAAACAGAAAATAAAAAAAATAAAATCAAACAAAAAAACCTGTAATAGTACTTCAGTGGTGTGGATGTTTTCTAGTTATTGTGTAGGTTGTCGTTAATATACACACTAAACTATAATAAACGTGTTTATTGATTTTACAGATTTAGAGTTGAAGGTGTAGTTACCATAGCAACACGTCTGGCATAATAGCAGCAAGCAGTGAACACATATTCTGCCTTTGAACCTCTAGTAATCATAATCATGACAAAAACAAGAAGGTTTCTAGCGCTCCTGGCACTCATAATAATAATAATACTAATAAACATATATCTTAAATCCCAGACAATGCAGAACAATGCTTTTTGATGAGAGTTTACTTTGAGAAGAAATTCAGCAGTAGATTTGATGATAAAGAGACATAAGAGAAATGTCTGCATTAGAGCCGCTAGATCTTTATATAACTGTGAGATTTTGTGTCTCAGTATGAAGTCGTGTTCTTCAGAGTGCTGCTTGGTTGATTTTTATTTTAGCAATTTGCTGATAGATAATGTGTTGCTATGTATAACAATGGTCATTATTACAGGAAATATCATTTCTGATTTAAATATCTTTGATGAGAGTTTACTTTGAGAAGAAATTCAGCAGTAGATTTGATGATAAAGAGACATAAGAGAAATGTCTGCATTAGAGCCGCTAGATCTTTATATAACTGTGAGATTTTGTGTCTCAGTATGAAGTCGTGTTCTTCAGAGTGCTGCTTGGTTGATTTTTATTTGAGCAATTTGCTGATAGATAATGTGTTGCTATGTATAACAATGGTTACATTATTACAGGAAATATCATTTCTGATTTAAATATCATTTGTTGTGTTCTAAAATAAGGGAATAAGCCCCAAGAAACCGTGGTTTACAGTGAACTTATAACAGCTAAGGGGAGTTTTTAGGCACGACGCAGTGCTTAGCTGTTATAAATTCACTGTAAACCACGGCTTCACGGGGCTTATTGCTTTTATAAAACGGTTATTCCATATACGTAGCAAGGTTTCACAAAATAAAACAAAGCAAATAAAATGTAATGATGTTAATAAAAACATTTGCTGCGTCCCAATTCGCCTACTTATACTATGCCCTAAAAGCATGTACTCTTTTTGTGAAGAAAAAGTACATACTTTTGAGAATGTAGCAGAATATTAGGCAAGCTTTGGGACATGCTACTTCGTCATAACTGCGTCTTTAACGGATGCTGTGTTGCTTAGTTACATGCATTCTGTCACTGTTTAAACTGCGCTGCCAATCATCTCATCACAGTTAACAAAATTCACATTTCATTTCCTACCGTATTGCAGAGAAATGAAGAGGGACGTTGATCTGCCCGTCACAGGTCTATCATGCCAAGAACTCTCTTCATATGTTTGCATAATGATGCATTTAAAAGTTTCATTATAACAATGTTCACAATGCTGCTGCAGATGAAATATAACGCGCATAACATTAAATAAATATTTGTAATCAAATTAGACATTGGTTATTTATCACTCAAACCCGTTTCTCTGCCTGTCCGTCGGTCTTGCATAACCGACATGTTTGTAGTTTTGAAACACTTTTTATGTGTGTTTGTAGTTCTAATCAAATCCTCATCCACCGCGCAATGTGTTGTGGGCAATATTAGCCATTAGAGTGTGCATCGATCTGCACTTCGAATTTTAATCTCAAGTAGTAGACCATCCGGGAATCTATGGCATACTCTTTTCAACATACTACGATTTGGGACAGACTAATTCTATTTTCGAATACTGTTTAGGACGCTAATTGGCACGCAGCAATTATTCTTCTGCCAAACAATGTAGTTCCTCAGAAATGGTTGTGGTTGCAACAAATTGGATGCCGAGCAACACACAGAAACAAAGAGGTGTATGTTTGTAGAGTAACTTACAACAGCTTCGAACCTGGCTCAACCAATCAGAATCAAGGAGCAGAACTATCCGTTTTATAGCTCTATTTTTTCCTCTGATTCCAGAAACCTCTTCAGGAAACGTCTTAATGGACACGACGATGACACGCACCACGACTCGCCCGGTCACCGTTACCACGGCAACCGCCTCCACCAGCACCACCATGACCAGCAGCACCCGATCTCACTCCACGACGCCGGCGGCCCCACGCAGCACCACCACAGACCGGCAGCCGGTGGCTCTTCCCGAGGTCACGGCACGCTCTGACCCGTCCTCCGTCTTGCCCAACATCGCTGTGGAGTTCTGCAGCCCCCTCACTGACTCCTCCATCACCTGGCCCAAAACACGGCAGGGCCTCGTGGCCAAGCAGCCCTGCCCACCGGGAACTGTCGGTACGTTACAGCAGTCCAGAGCAGCCGTGTAGTGATTATGTTCACCAGCAGAGGGCGCTGAGAGATGCACTGGTTACTAAGTTGCACCAATACTTGGACAGGAACAGAGCACTATTATCATCAGTTTATAAAAAGAGACACCTGTTATCGCTTTCAAGTAGGGCTGTGCAAAAAAATCGAATGCGATTTTCATGCGCATCTCGTCAGTAAAGCCGATTCTGTGATTAGTAGTAAATCTCCATCACGGCATTTATTACACAGAGCCGTAGTTCACTGACAAGCTACACAAAATCGTGTTTATAATCATAAAATCGCCTGCGATTGTGAACAGGAGTGGCTTTACTGACAAGATGCGCATGAAAATCGCATTAGATTTTTTTGCACAGCCCTACTTTCAAGATATTGAAATATCTTATTGATTATTAATTAGTGCCGTCAAATGATTAATCGCGATTAATCGCATTCAAAATAAAAGTTTTCGTTTACGTAATATATGTATGTGTACTGTATATATTTATTATGTGTATATATAAATACACACACATGCATCTACATATTTCAGAAAAATGTTGTGTATATATTAAATATATTTATGTATAATATAGATTATATGAATATAAATATAGACATGTAAATATTTTCAAAATATACAGTATACTGTATGAGTGTGTATTTATATATACATAATAAATGAACACAGAACACACACATATATTATGCAAACAAAAACGTTTAACTTGTATTAATCGCGATTAATCGCTTGACAGCACTATTATTAATATATTAACTATTTTTGATAGAGTAATACTCTTTGTTTGTTGTGCAAGCAATTATTTCCATCATGAAATAAACATTAAAAAGATTAATAAAAGTGTTAACATATAATTACGAGAAATAAACTAAGATTTAGAAAATACATTTTCTCTGAATTCTGAGTTGCATCTCGCAATGCTGACTTTTTCTCGCAATTCTGCGAAAATTTGTGATTATAAACTTTTTAGAGAAAAATACTCCGAACGATGAAAAATAAAGTCCGATTTGTGAGTACATTTTTGTAATTCAGACTTTTTTTTAAATTATGAATTTATATCACAATTTTTCTCAGAATTCTGAAGACAAAAAATGTCTGATTTTCTAGAATTTAGAGGGGAAAAAAAAGAGAAATGCAAGATATAAAGTCAGAAATTGTTTCACAGTTATTCTCAAAAAAAGTCAGAATTATGAGAAACAAACAAACAAAAAAAGTCAGAACTGCAGGATAAACTTAATTAGAAATAAATTCATATTTGTGAGATGTAAACTCAGAATTTTTGAGAAAAAATTCAGAATTACAAGCAATGAACTCAGAATCCTGACTTTCTTTTTCATAGCCCTGACTATTTTTCTCTAAAAAATTTTTTTCTCAGTTTTGACTTTTTCCTCGCAATTATTTACTATTTATTATAGTGTGATTTTAATATAATCAGTTTGACTTGCAAAAACAATGATTATAAATAATGTTTACAAAATAATCAGTAATGATAATAGTAATAATAGTTATTATTATTTAACAAAAAATGAAGAATGTGTGGTCCCTCTATTTTAATTGATAGATATTAACAAATAACATCTCAGAAATCTGCTCTTAACCACGAACATCCTAGCAACTGCATAGCGACGCCTTGCCCTGTTTCTACAGAGCAAATAAGCCCTGGTCACTGCATGTTTAACAGCTTGTTTTGGTAACCCAGGTGTGGTGTTTTTCTCTGTGAGTGTGTGGATGTGCAGCAGACGAGCACAAATAACACGAACGCAGCACACGCATCAAACACAAACTCGCCTTTCAGCTCGGTCTGTCACTCTCCTTCCTCTCCTTTTCTTTCTTTAAAGTTGAGCTCTTCCCTTCATTTCTATATCCAAGCGTTTTCCAGGCCTCCGTCTGCTTCCATGGTTTCGGGCGATTGGCAGTTTCTTCAGGATTAGTTGTTTGTTCTTGGATTTGTCCTCTGGGCGTTTCTCAGAGTAACACGTTCACATCCTCAGAAACTCATTCAAAACAAAAACATCAAAAAAACACTAGCTTTTGATTGACATCTGTGTGTTTTGTAACACCCCGTTATGTGATATCATTCAAAAGTTGAGAAATTAATACTTTTATTTAGCAATGATGCGTTAAATTGATCAAAAGTGACAGACATTTATAATGTAACAACATATTTCTATTTCAAATAAATTCTGTTCTTTTGAACTTTCTATTCATCTGTGAATCCTAAAAAAATCTATATATCACGGTTTCCACAAAAATATTGTGCAGCACAACTGTGTTCAACATTGATAATAATCAGAAATGTTTCTCGAGCAGCAGATCAGCATATTATACTGATTTCTGAAGATCATGTGACACTGAAGACTGGAGGAATGATGCTGAAAATACAGCTGCGCATCACAGAAATACATTACAGTTTACAATATATTTACATAGAAACAATTATTTTAAAGAACACTTAGAAGGATACAAGGATTAATGCAATATTGTAACATTATTTTTATTAAAATATTTCCCCACATGTAGACTATTGGACTATATTATTTAGTGGAGGCGGTGTTTATTTTGAAAATACAGCTGCGCATCACAGAAATACATTACAGTTTACAATACATTTACATAGAAACAATTATTTTAAAGAACACTTGGAAGGATACAAGGATTAATGCAATATTGTAACATTATTTTTATTAAAATATTTCCCCACATGTAGACTATTGGACTATATTATTTAGTGGAGGCGGTGTTTATTTTGATTTGCTATTACTATTAGTAATGCATGTGTTTATTGAACATAATCTTTTATCACACTGCTGTTGTGCGTGTGTGCCGACAGTACATCTGGAGTGTGTGTGTGTGTGTGTGTGTGTGTCAGTGATCTCACCTATTTTTCCCTCTTCTGTCCTTCTAATTAGAGCTGAGAATTCTGTCGTCTTTCTCCACGAGCTTTAATTGACCTTTACCAGTGCTCTCCAGGGAACGAACTCACTCTCTATCTCTCTCTCTCTCTCTCTCTCTCTCTCTCTCTCTCTCTCTG